TTATAATGACGATATATATTACAATTTCGGCCTTGCGTCCGCCCCCTTCGTCCCTCCTTTGAGGGGATAAAACTATAGTAAGTAAGCAGCATCCCAAAATAGGGTTGGATATTACAACGTTTTTTACTCATCAAACTGCGTCGACCATAACAAACTACTCAAAGCACGTGGATGCCGCAAGTAGGAGTCCGCTCACACGCGCGTGCATCCCCGTGCTCGCACACGCGCTCCCACCGTCTCACTTTGTCTCCGTTCATAGGTGGACATAGGGCCTATAATAAGTGAACGCATTCCTATTAGCCTACACATAACTTAAAACTTTTCCACTTTCCCGATGACCTACCAGTTTAACGGATACATAACTCAAAAACTGATGTCACCTTCTAAAACACTTTATTCAAAAACATATATCTTTCCTGCTTTTATGGATTTCGTTTGAATTCCGCTGTTGTGGGTTTTGGGTCCTTCAAAATAAAGTTCAGAACTGAGCTGCTTAGGTTGTGTCAGATGCAGTTTAGTAACACCATCCAAAGCAGTACACTGTAAAAAAGAAAAAGTTAAGACAACTGCACTAGATTTTTGAGTTTTGAGGGCAACTCAGAAAACCACCTATTGTTATGCTGAGTAATTATTTTTCGTTCAGATAATTTATGTTTCATATCTAAAAAAACTCCTAACAACAGAAGTCATCCTAACCTATTGTGTTTTCTTAATATTTATCTTTCATATGTGGAAAGACTTTAAAGTTTGGGTTTAGCGTACTAAGGCCTTGCCCAGTGCAGTGCCTGATGTGCTGGACTAGGCTTGAACTGGCAGTTTTTGGGTTAGAAGAACAGAGGTTTAACCCACCGAGCTGCACGCTGCCCCCTCTGAACTTGGACGCTGCCAAAACTCTGAACTGTTATAAAACTGTAAACAGTGTTTTTGTGTTAATTAGCACCTTATTCAGCTTGTGTTCCATACACCTGAGCATGTGGCTGTGTGAGTTAAGCCTCTCTACTCATGGATTGAAGGTCACCAATTCAAGTCCAGTGTCAGCGCATGTGGGGGCCCTGGAGCAGGGCCTGTGACCCCCCCCCCCCCTGCTCCATATAGGCACCACAACAGGCCCTTCGCGGTCAAGTTTGCTGTCATTCCCCACAGGAGTCCTCAAAATGTGTCCGCTGTTATTTATTACTATCATGTTTAAAATAAACATGCTAAATGAACTGCTTTGTTATCTTCATTTATAATAATTAGTTGGCACATATTTTGCGGTTTTGAATTCTTAGCATGTTTGACTCAAATTTGAATGTTTTTATACATATGAAAGATAAATCATCTGAACCAAAGAGAATTTTGTTGTTTGTAATTCCTAGTATGTAAAACAAAAAATCAGAAGTTTTTCTAGATAGGAAAGATAGATTACCTGAATAAAAAGTAATTACTTGTCACAACAATAGGTGGTTGTCTTCAAAACTTAAAAGTTTGAATCCTCAAAACTCAAAAATATTGCCTTGAAAAGTTGCCTTGAAATTTTAGGTTGTCTTAACTTTTTCTTTTTTTTACAGTGTTTTTTTACAGAATTCTTTTGAATAGCAAGAAATGTAAGTAGACGTAAATTCTACATAAGCTATACCTAGTTTATGTTGGATGCAGTGTTTAACAAAATTTTCACCATAACCCAGGATTATTTATGTAAATTCAACAAAGATATCAATTTAATCTAAGTTTGATCTAACTTGAAATTACGTCTGTTAGAATGAAGCAATAAATCTATGATTGTGTACAGGCATAATATATAACATTACAGCATAGTGGTGGTCAGTAATTTAAACTTGCAACAAGCTGTAGAATTGTAGAAAATGCTATCTCATGTTTAAACTATTGTCCAACAGAGCATTTGTGGATGATTAACAACCAGAAAATACCAGAAAATGAAGTAACAGTGTATGTATGTCAGCCAGTGTCAATCAAAATGTTCAGTGTATTAAACCATCATCCCAAATCACACTAAGTGGCTCATCAAACATGACTGGATAAGAGACCTTTACTCACCACCCCCCCCTGTGGTCACCTGGCTGTCGGGCGAAAGATGGAAACATAGTTTTGTCAGCTTGTATTAGTAATTTTAAAGCCCTTTCCAAAATCGGCTTTCACCGTACGTGTGTTGTGGCCTTGTGTCTCACATTTTCACACCCCTGACAAGACGGAGGCTCGCGATTTCGCAGCAATCTTTAGTCGGCTTTTTAAAATATCGGTTCAGTTAAATATTCCCCGGCATTCCACGGTTTCAGTTCGCCAGCATTTTCACCCGGTTCCCACAGAAAAAATACGTTTAAAAACCAACAACACTCAAAAAAGATACCGACTTTTATTTTAATCCAATGATATAAGATAGTACATACACTCTCAGAAAAATTGTTCTTGTTACTGAGGTTGTACCCTCAATGGTCTGCCAATTGTACCATTAGCTGTAGGTAATTCAGATGAACATTTCTGTACCATCGATGGTACATTAGTGATGTTTGTACCTTTGGAATGTTCCACAGAGACCATTTCTGTACCTTAAAAAGTACAAGGGTACAGTTCCAGTGACAAGCAAAGGTACAGAGTGTAAACCAGAGAGTGTAGGCTACTTGTTTAATTCAAATTCTCCCTGACGTGAATTTTGCATTAATGATTCGGTGACAGTTTTATTATGTATTTTAAAAAATATATGTTTGATTTTCAAATTCAAACATTTCTGCCCAGACCAAAATCTCGTTAATACTACTATTTAATACTATTATATAAGATGAATAATGCATGCAATGTCGAAGGAAATGTTGTGAGAAATCGGAAAATCCACATGTACCTGACAGATTACTTTTCCTTATTTAAATTAAAATACAACATAAGATACAGTCAAGGGCGTGAAGCACCTAAGAACCTTTAAGGCCAAATATAAAACTTAATATCACTTACTCTGACTTTTATTTACGCCCTGGAAAGTGATTGTTAAATGAAATCATGGCTCCGCGACAGATCTAGGATGGATGCCAATAAATTGCACTCAGTGTTTTGATTAAACGGCTTACAAACTTTTATTGCAATCCACCCCGCGCCCCGTTTCCACTTATCTCTGTATTACGGTGGGTTGCGTCCCTGATAGTAAGCAAGGAAGCTAACATCGTTAGCGATAATTACAGTAAAATGTTGCTTCCCTATGCACACTTAGGCTGAAACCAGAGAAGTATTAAATGCATAAAAATATTTAAATGAAGTGCCGCATTATTTGGTAGAGGGGGTTACAAAATGCGGCGCCGCGCGGCTCTGGGCGTCCACAGAACGGTGGCTGGTTATCTCCTTTGCCAAATGTGCCCCTTTATCGCTGCATCCTGACGGGTTCCGCCCTCAAGGGGAAAAAAAAATGGTAACTTTTCTTTCTACTACAAAGAAACAAAGGAATATCCAAACGTTACTTTTAAAAACTAATTAAATCAACTTTCTCAACTGAAGATGATACGTGCCATCAATCAATGAGTATATTTGTACAGTTGAACTAAGGTTTTCAAAGGTTTACATCAAATAGTTGAGCCTTAACATTGTTTCTGAAGGACATGGTACAGCTTTTATCATATCAGAACGATACATAAATGAATGCAGTTATTTAATATATGTATTCCGGGCTTCCAGTATTGTTGTGATCCGTGATTCACAATAGTTGTTATTACGAAAGTAATTAAAATATAATTTAATTCGAAAAATATATATATTTTTATATATATAAATATATATATATATATATTTATAAAGTACTTGGCAAAACACAGCACACGCTGAGGCAACGGAAAAAAGAAGAAAAAGGAAAACAAAAAAAACAGAAAAAAAACAGAAAAAAAGATTTATTGTTTTAGCGTTTTTTGTGTAGTGTTTTGGCATTTTTGTGCTTTTGCATTTTCTTCTATGACTTTGAATGTTCCTAACATGGTACTTTTAATCAATTTTAAAAATATAATTAAAAATAGGCCTATTTAAAAATAATTTTCTGAGATTTGCACTTCAGGACCACCGTAATAAAGCAATGCTTTCAAACTTTATTAAGTCAGGGACCCCCCAAATTAAAATAGACCAGAGTGTAGACCCCCTTACCACTAAAGTGTGATCACATAAACAGGGGCGCCGTAAGGGGGAGGAAAGCTAGGACGATTCCAAGGGCCCCTGAGTGACAGGGGCCCTAAAAAATTAGGAAAATAACTGGATTGGTTTGGACTGGGGGGCCTAATATGATATGCTTTCATGGGGCCCAAAATCTCTAGCAACGCCCCTGCACATAAATAGGCCTAACTTACAAATAAAGATTGGTTGGGGGAGGGGTTGCCCTTAATTCTTTTCTGTGCGATTGCGGGATCCTCTCACCGTCACGTGGGCAAACCCTAAGGGTTGAGAACAGGCACCTGTGTTCGGCCCTTAGATACCCCACGCCGTGTTCGGACACGGCGTGTGGTGTTATTGGTTTGCTATGCAGCATACTGAGCGCTCAAACTTGTGCCTCCCATCCAGCCCTGATCCGTCCTGCCTGCTGTGCTCCAGTTTCGTCCCGCTACTAAGCTACAGTTATTGTAATACTGTTTCCATTACACCCTTTCGTACAGTTGTTTACGGTTGAGGTGCTATTAACAACATGCGGAAATGGGTCTGTTAGGGCCTTAATCCCCACTAGCAGCATCGTTTCAGCACCACGGACAGCGACCGTCACCTGTAAAACCTCACACCTGTAACCGCTTTCATCATCACAGCGGATCCGTAAGAGACAACAGCACAGAAAGAAAATGTGATGCCAGGATTTGGGAAAATGACAAGACACTAGGGGCTGAAGGGCCGGTGCAACCGACAAACTCCTTGTAGAAAGTGCGTTGGAAGCTGACACAGACAAGCGCTACCAACATTCCGGTTTTATTAGATTTGGCTGCAGGTACTATACAAATAAAACTCCACAACATTTTCAAAAGAAAGAAATGTTTTATTAAAGCAGAAAACGGGATTTGTTGGTTTGAGACCGCGGGATATGTTTTAGCTTGTGACATAGCGCCACCTGCTGGAATATTTATTTAAACACAATATCTCGGTGAAACTGCAGCCGCTAAAACGTTGGCGCACGTTTCGTTTTGCTAAAACTGCAGTAAGAGTGTTTCTATAGTCGCAATAATATTTATCTTTTTCACATTTAGTGCTCAAAGTATGCCTAAGCACATTTCTCTCTTAAGCAGGAGCATAACAAAATCGCACATAATCTTACGACCCAAAACTGACGTCTTCATATGATGTTTATAATAAGATCTTCCGTCATCGTTGAAAGTGTCATTTCAGGATAAGTCGAGTTTTGTTGTCTCCGAGCAGAAACCTGTAAATGAAACATGGGAAATGTGAGTTGTTTGTACCGATAACTTTCGAAATAACATAGATCGGACTCTAGTCAAATATAGGTGCATGTTGTTTCGCGGATAACTAATTACAGATGAGCTGGGCTGATAGCCTGAAATGGCAACCAGGCAGCCCAAGCATGACAGGAAGCTCACCTCACCAATGCAGCTGCCACCAGGCCTCCTAAAATAGGGCCCACCCAGTACACCCAGTGGTAGGACCAGTAGTTAGTCATGAGAGCAGGACCCAGAGCCCTGGCTGGGTTCAGACATGTCCCAGACACGTTCCCCCTGTGGCAACGGCAAGAGAATGACGGCCAGTCAGCGGGTGACTGAATCCAGCGCTGCGTTCAGTCACAGCACATGCGCTCTCTTGTTGGCGTGTGGTTCTGATACATGCAAGCCACATTTGATGCTTTGAAGGTCTGACATGTGTCTCTGGTTTTAAGTTTCCTGGTTCCAAAATGGGGGAACAGACTGAAAACTCCAGCTGAGACAGTACTGAGTTTCACTGCATTATGCTGGGTGACTCTCATAATAATGATTCCACTAATAATAATCTAATAATAAGTCAGAGTCAGGGATTTTTCTGAAAAGTCAATTATCAGCCTTGAGGTTCCAAGTCCCTGTGTCACAGACGTCTTTGTCCTACAGAGGTCCATGTCCTACAGATGTCTATGACCTACAGCGGTCCAAGTCCTACAGAGGTCTATGCCCTACAGAGGTCCATATCCTACGGACATCTGTGCCCTACAGAGGTACATATCCTACAGAGGTCTGTGTGTTACAGAGGTCCAAGTGCTACAGAGGTCTGTCCCTTACAGAGGTCTGTGTCTTATAGAGGTCCACATTCTACAGAGGTCCATGTCCTACAGATGTCTGTGCCCTACACAGGCCCATGACCCACGGCCAGTAGGGGGGCACACTCACCCTGCCAGGATGTTGATGACGACAGTGCCCCCAGCCATAAACGGCACCAGGGGGGTGCGGCTCTTGTGGTTCACCGCTCCTAGTAGCACCACCAGGGCAATGAGGCTGGTCATGGCTCCCTCAGCAAACAGGGCCCTGGCCACCTGCTCCTCGGACCTCAGGACGGTGAAGGCAGCGCCAGTGGCTTCCTCGTACTTGGCTTTGGTCGTCATCACCTGAGAGGGTGGAGACCCAGCTTGGACACCTGGAGCTCAGCAGGGACAGCAGTGTTCCCTCAAGGACTCACCTTAGACATGGCGGCTCCGATAACGCCCCCCACCAGCTGGCTGATGATGTACGGTCCAACCATGACGAGCTCCATACCCCCACACAGGTAGATGGGGATAGTAAACGCTGGGTTGAAATGGGACCCACTAGACAAGAAGGTGCCAGTGAAGTTTACCACAAAGTTCACACACACACACACACACAAACACACACATACATGGTATATATATATCAGACCTGATGATTATATTTTAAGGGATAAACTAATTAAATATACTGTATTTATTATGATTAGTATATAATTTCTTTCACAAGAGTCACTCAAAATCCAAAGATATGCATGATTGAGTCAGAATAACTCGCATCACATTAAGCACGGTGGTAGTATCGTGCTCTTGCAATACACACGACACATGATTGTCTGATAGGCAGCCGAAGTTTCACCTGATCTCTGCCATACACGCCACCAAAACCACGATGGCCAGGCCGTGCACCAGCGCAGGCTGCAGCCTCCCCGCCGACTCCACGTCCTCGATCACCGAGACGCAGCCGATGAACACGAAGAACATGGTCCCCAGAAGCTCGGCCGCGCACGGCTGGATCATCCGCTCCATCCGGCTTGGAGACCCGCCCTCTTTGGCTTTGCGACTGTCTCTTATTAAATTCTTCTCCATGTCTCGGAGCTCCAGCCTGTCTTCGGCCATTATGTCGCTACTGAAGGGGCACTTAGAAATGCAGATCTGCTACGCTCATAGTTATACATGGATTGTTTTACAGCCACGTAGGTGATAACCACGTGAACTCTGGATCTGCCTCAAAAAAAAGGCTCATTCTTAACTCGTAACGAAACGCGTGATTGCGGCTTTGGTCGGATTTATAATCTATCAATCATCCAGCCCACAGAGTCAAATGCTTATCTAAAAAATGTATTTTTTTAGTGGAGAGCACTGACCGGATCACACTGGAAATAAATAAATAAATAAGAAATATCGCTAATTAGTCTGATTAAGACGACTCTCAGATAAAATATCCCTTTGTGAGATCGGAGCGAAGCGAAAAGACACTAGAAATGAAATTCAAAGATCACTGCGATGGCTATATCACTTGACAAGCTGCCGTAAACAAACCAGCACCGTACATATAGGTTATTTTTTGCATGTAGCCTATGAGTATTTTGTCTTGTCTGCGGGTTCCGCAAAACTCGTAAAAAGTTTCCATTTAATTTTCGCGACAAATGGAAATCGCGATTGAGAAGGCTCGACTGTAGTTAAAGACCCGTCTGTTCCGGAAGCCGGTCCGCATAGACTGTCTAGTAACTTATAGGAAGATGCACATGTATCCGTCAAAAGACTGTGGAAGTGGCTTTTTGTAAGGTGGCAGCAGAATGCCGGTGTTCTGTCGAGTTGAGCTACTTTGTCGAGTTAGGCTACCGTAGTGCTAATCGATAGCCCTAACCCTAACTCTTACCCTAACCCTAACCCCCCAGAAACCCCTAAAGCCCCTACCCTAACCCTAACCCTAACCCAAACCCCTAAAACTTAACCCTAATCCCAAAACGGTGGAACTGCACATGCGCAAAAAGGCTCGATAGTACGTCTCGATAGGTAGCTCAACTCGTCAGAACACCTGCACCCTGCGTGTCGTTCGTATGCAGGATGTAATTAAATGCATGACACGTCTATGAAGGACGTTTTCTGTTTCACAACTGAGTTAGACACAAGACTTTAAAGTGATTGGTGGTAATAAAGATTATTTGGAAAACTGAACAAAATTCCCTGACGCTTTGATACTGGAAAATAATGTTTGTATGGAATGCATACGAAAAAGCTAATTTAGCATAAATATGACTACAAAATACCTACAACAAAATACATCCATCTTTCATAGTTGTTTCTCAAATGCTGGTTCTCTGCCACCTTAAACACATTCTCTGGACATTAAGAACATTGTAAAGACAAGAAATGTTAGTAAAGATATATAAAAATTTATTTGATACATTTACAGTTGATGATTTGCCCACATACTTGCTCATGGGTTAAGCGTGTGCCCCCCCCCGTTGGGTGAGGTCTGAACTTGATTCCTGACCCAGTGGCTTGAATCATACACACATGTGCAGCAGTGCTTCCAGTCAATCTCCGCATGGATCATGGGATCAATCACAATGCCAAGAGGTTTTCTGAATTCAATTCAATGCAATTCAATTTAATACGGTCGGGAAGATGGTGTCCCGGCCCTGGTGTGATTGTGGTGTCAGTCAAAGCCAACTCCACCATGTTCAATCACAGCCAATTATATTTTAATTGTTATCAAGTGTCTGCAGTGTTTTGAATCTTAATGGAGAGGAATAAAGCTGCCTTTTAGTTCAGGAAATCAGGTCCATAGGTTTCTGAGGAGCTCCTGTGAGGTGTTTCTGTCACTTCAGAATAAGCCGCAAACTCCGATCTCCCATCAGCAGTCTGAGGAAGAAAACGGCAGTGTGAGCTGAAAGTCAATGGAAAAAGGAAAAAAACAGCCCCCCCATCATGAGCAGGAGGAGCGATGGACTGATCTACCACGTTATCATGGAGTTTTGTTTTTGTACTTCTCCAGTAAGTGAGGCCAGACCATGACTGCCAGCCCATCTCTGACCCAACACCCCGGTGAGTTTCTCCCTATACTCACTGAAACAATTTTTTTCCCTTTGCATCCTGCTCATGGGAGTTTTACTTACAAAAAAAATGTACTGAGGGCAGAATGAAAAATCATTGGTTCAGATAGATAACCAATCAGATTGTAGCGGAAGTGGGTCAAAGCTGTTGGAGGAGGTGGGACCAACCAATCAGATGTCTTGGTCTCACCAGTTCCACAATCTGATTGGTTATCTCTCTGAACCAATTATTTTTTCTTCTGCCCTCAACTTTTTTGTGTAAGTAAAAATCCCATGAGCTTTTTCCCTGTTGTAAAACCCACCTCCACCCCTAACCCAAATAAAACTATAAAATAAACTATACTATACACCAGGAGGACGCTCCAAACACACATAGACAAATGTAGGGAAGCTCACCTAACAACACAGGCCGTGAAAACAGCCCCGCCCAAAGGCCCCACCCAGTAGATCCAGTGGTAGGCCCAGCAGTTCGCCACCAGAGCGGGGCCAAACGCACGCGCTGGATTCATGCATGCACCAGACACAGGCCCCCTGAAACACAACACTGCTTCAGAAATGAGTCGGTGGGAAGTGAACGCAGCTTCTGGCAAAGCGAGACCCCTGGCCTCACCCAGCGAGGATGTCGGCCGCCACCGTCAGGCCGATGCAGAGCGGCGCCAGGCTGCTGCGTGACTTGCCGTTGACTGCACCCATGCACACAGTCATGGTCAGGAACGCGGTCATGACGATCTCAGCCACGGTGGCCTGGCCCACCTGGGAGTCGTTCTGAACCACATTGAAGGCCCCTCCTGAGGAACTGGCATAGGACTGAGGAGTGGTGATGGCCTGGGGGGAGGGGGGTACAGAAAACATGCAAAAACATGCAAACAAACACACAGATGTGCAAACACGCAAACACACACACAAAATGTGCAAACGTACAAACACACAGGCAACCATGCGCATGCACATGCAAACACACATTCAAACATGCACACAGACATGAAAACAAACACACAAATGTGCAAACACACATGCAAACATGCGCATGCACATGCAAACATGCGTATACATATGTAAACACACATGCAAACATGTGCATACACATGCAAACATGCACACACATACACACAGATTAGTACCTTTCAGCAACTACAGGTTTCAGACATAATGAAGTTCACAATTTAGCATGTGCAATAGAATAACTAAATTGCATTATAAACCACATCATATTCTTCAGGGTTTGGGTTTGGCCCAGTCCAAGGACATGCAGTTTGGTGGTCTGGCTTCCCTAAAATGCCTGTGGTGTGTGTCTGCCTTGCAGTGGACTGACATGTCGTCGACACAGTGCACCCCAGCTTCGTGTGGCGGGTTCAGGATAAGGTTTCGGCACAAAGACTTACTGTGATCCCCTTATAACCAATCAGTGTGACTCTTCCTGTTCCAAATCAGGACTCCAAGTCATTTTCCAGGTGACTCCTTCAGAAACTAGACATTCCTGGGTTGTTTTATAGCTACTGATCATGCAGTAAGTGTGGCTTTATCGCTTTATAGCCTCACACCAGGGGGCATGCAGTTCCTGAGGATGAAAGTAATACCTGCCCTTTGTCAGCTTTTAATAAAGAGGGGCGCTACTAAAGACTGTAGATCCCATGGAAACATATCATATTAGGGCCCCAACCCAGATTCAAATTTTTAGGGCCCCTGTCACTCAGGGGCCTTGGAATCACACTATCTTTACAACCTTTTATGGAGTCTCTATGAACAAAAGTGTCAAAGCTCTCAACACAATCACTGAATCTTTATCTCCATGCCAGGGAATCAAGGGCGAAGATTTGGTTTCAACATTGGTAGGGACCAATTCAACACTGAACCCCCCACCCCCCACACACACACACCCCCCTAAACACATGTGGTACTGCCACAATATTGGTTCCTACCGTCCACACACAAATCTCTACACCCTTGCAGGAAATATACACAGACATCAATTGACGACCGGATTCTTACCAGAGCCAAGGCCGCCCCGATCATCCCACCAAGCAGCTGGGAAACAACGTAGGGCAGGAGCAGCACGAGCCGTAGCCCCCCGACGAAGTACACGCACAGGGACACAGCCGGGTTGAAGTGGCCGCCACTGCGCGTGAAGCATCAAACGTCATAAACCACCGTAAACATTAATACCGGTCAGTACGTGCAGCCGATGAATCAGCTGCACGGGGACACTGACCTCCTGTTCACAAAGGCGGTTATCTGGGCACCGTATCAAATCGGGGCTACTTAACTAGCACCACAAAAACACTTATTAGCCTATCAAAGGGGAATTCATCAGCCAGTTATATAAGAAGGATCTTCATTTATTGCCACGGATGGTAATTTTATTGAATCATAAACTTCGGATATTGCAAAACAACACGTGTAATGCTTTCATAACAACCTGCTCTGTTTTCTAGCGCGTTTGTGTATGTTTTTATTTAAAAAAAAAAAAACTAATTTTTATAGTAACCATATAAATATATATTTTTCTGATTAACGGTTTAACTTTTTCCAAGAAAATTAGGGGGAAAAAACGCAGACAAAAACGTCAATTAATTAGGACAGGATCTGAGGATAACGGACAGTCTGTACCTGATTTCCCCCAGGACCGCAATCACGACGACGAGTGCCAGCCCGTGCGCCAAGGCGGGCTGCAGCAGCCCCGTGGTCGCCGAGTTCTGCACCACCGAGCAGCAGCCCACGAAAATGAAGAGGGCTGAGCCCAGCAGCTCTGCCAAGCAGGGCTGCAAGTAGCTCTCGAAGGCGGCGGCGGCCCTCCGAGGCTCGTTTCGCGGCCGCTCCTCGGGATCCGGGGCGTCCCGGCATGGCACGTCGCAGAGCTCCGTTTTAGACATCGCGCGCTGCCAGGCAGATGTGTCCAACGTCCACGTAACCGCTGGCATTTATGCTCTTATCAGCTTCTGCTGAGTGACTCCGATTGACTCTGCAGTCTCACAGATGAGCGATACAAAACAACTATAAGATCCGAGGGAGATGTTTAAAATATAGATTTTACATTATTTAATATTTATTAGGAATGTTTGTCAGACATTTTATTGTGGAAACGTCTTAGTTTTTCAGAGCGTCCGACCGTATAGTTATACGCTGATATGCAATTAGGTATTTAACACGTTTAATTACCTTTTTATGCTGTTATTCGTCACGTAATCCATTAAAAAGGGATTTTAACTGTAAAAGTTTTTCGCTTTTACGTGATGATGACGCAAGTTTATATCGACGTTAAAAAATACCTTCAGCATCTTCTAATTTTCTTATTTTCATTCACATCGTCATTGTAGTTTGTTTTTAAACACCATTATGTCACACCGTTACTTTCGGCATTAAAGCAAAGTGATTAATGACATATAGGCTTAAACTTCTAAAACATCTATCTATCTATCGATGTATGATAGATGCGTGCAGAGGCAAATACATAAATTAATAAAAACAAAATAAATATAAAAACAAAATGACATAATTGAAATTTATGGAATCGTAATATGCGATGTGAACTGACACTGACATAATAAAATCAAGTTCTACATTATCTGGCCGGATCAGGGAAGTTTCTAGCTATTGAAAAGATCAGGGGCTAAGTCGGCTTTAGGCTACCTGGGGCTTGACCTTTTTTCCTGTCATCGGACTAAAATACTCAGTTTAAAATACGCGGGGCTATAGCCATGGGCCGGATTAAATGGTGGTAGCATTAAAAATACAAATATTCTCTTATTGAACGTGCGCAAGCTGTTCCACGAAGCAGGTTGTCCAATAAGAATTTAGGTAAGGAGCATTTCTATTGGACAATCATGACTTCTAGCTAAGTTAAACCCAGCTAACCGAGAAATCCTGTTTCGTGGAACACCCTCCAGCAGGGCCGGCCCAAGCCTTCAGGGGGCCCTAGCAGAATTTTATTTGGGGACCCCTCTGAGCCACCAATATGACTAATTATTGTCAATCCTTTATTATTCGCACACTATAAATCTAACACACCCAATATAAATTTTATTTTTTTGTAGCTGTGTTGCTTATACAGTGCCTGACAAAAGTCTTGTC